ATCAGGATTGTGATTGGGATGCACAAGGGGCTCTGGGAGTCCCAGTGAGGTACTCGATTCAGCCTGCAGGAGTCTGGAGACATCTAAATTGAGCTGTAAGGGATGCAAGTGGAAAAAAGGGGGAAGGAGAAGGATGAGGTGAGGAAGAACGTTCCAGGCAGAAGGAATCATGCATACAAAGCCCCCCCTCCCCGCCCCCACACACACAGCAGGTTCTGGGAAAGTAGAATAAGAGAGGCTGCCGTGTCGAGTGGTGAATGGGATGTTGAGAGATAAGACTCGAGATGCCAATTTGGGAAGGGTCCTGTGAGCAGGGTAAGGAGTTTGGATTCGTCCCAAGGGCTCTGGGGAGCTTAGGGGGAATGTAGGCAGGCAGTGCACGGTCAGATGCTGGCTGGAGGCAGGGTGACTGGAAGCAGACCGTCCACATCTCAACCTTGGTCTCCCGGCAGGTGGGTTGGCTATGAGTTTCCCGGCTACCGTGGGCGCCAGTACGTGTTTGAGCGGGGCGAGTACCGCCACTGGAATGAGTGGAACGCCAGCCAGCCGCAGCTGCAGTCTGTGCGCCGCATCCGCGACCAGAAGTGGCACAAGCGGGGCTGCTTCCTCAGCAGCTGAAAGGCACCCAGACCTCAAAGACCCAGACCCACGCTGCGGGGGCTGCAAGGGCAAGAAGAGGAGGCTCCAGGGCTGGGGCGAGGGCCGACCTGTCCACCCTTCCCTGGAATCTCCTCAATAAAGCCTGGGGTTGGTCCCCCGCCTGCCATGTTCCTCGGCATCACTTCCTGAGGGAGCCAGGCCTGGGGCAGGACCTGTGGGAGAGGCCTGCTGAAGGAGGCTGGGGCTTGAGAGTTCTGAGACTCCCAGGAAGGGGCTGTGAACTTTGCCCATATCCTAGGCTCTAATCCTTTCAGGCAGAACCATGTGCCCCTACTGCCCTGATCTTGTGTTTATCTGCTGGTGCGTGTTTCCACCTGAATGTCTGTCAGTCTACCCATCCACTCATCCATCCATCCATCCATCCACCCACCCACCTACCTGTGTGCCCATCCATTCATCTACTCACCCATCCATCCATCCATCCACCCATCCATCCATCCATCCA